AAGTATTAACACAAAATCATATAAAAATTATAAAAGGTGAACAAATCTGATCAATTTGAAATATAGACAAAATCGAAACTAGGCGCTTTTTCTATGTGTATATTTGATTTGTGTGAAAGGTTGACGGAAGTATAGTTTAAGCTTGGACATTCGGTTACTGTATGGTTATTAAACTGGATAATTTGCTCGATAAGTCAAAAACAATGGTAATTAATAAAAAGTTATATCAATCCTGATCGTTCTATTTTTGTGTTGTAGGGATACCTTGAAATAGGATAGTAAGGAAATGCTTTAAATCTCGTCGGTAATTTTAGGTCAAAATCAAATGTGTGCATTTCGCTGCTGAGAAGAAAATTCATAAAATTTGAAAAGTTTCCAGTTAATATGTTACTAAACTTATGGCTGCTACAATATATCTTTTCACCTCAGTTAGTTCTAAAATGGTAGCCAAGTGCACTCGGAGGGAATAAATTTCAGGGTTACAAAGGACAAGTGTGACGATACCATATTCTAAACATTAACCCCTTCATTTAAGACCTTGTTTTAAAAATCCCCATGTATAAAAGATAGAAAACCACATAAAAAAAACTTTATAATGTTTTGTTGGTTAAAATTAAACAGGGAGACTTAACGCTTTCAACTTTGACCTAATTCAGAGGCAGGAACAATCGATATTGACCGTGGTTGCAGGGGGGCCAGGCACGAAGAACCTGACATTTCATTTGCCCTGAGATAATTTTTATTCACCATTGTTATGGAACAACTATGCACAGAAACAATGGAATGTTAGTCACTGTTTATTGGGTTCTTTAATCCCAAGATTTTTTTTTGTGGTCTTTACACCAGTGAATTACTGTTTTTAATTAAAACAACATGCCGTGTGCCGCAGCATATAATTGACTAGTTTTAAAAAGAATTTCATAAAGTTCGATAGGAATCTGGAGAATTGTTACGATGCGAACAATGAAAACGAAACAAATCCAGAAACTTTTAACTTTTGAACTTCAGTTATTTGTTAATTAAATATTATAATTATAAAACCAGGGTTTTCATAAATTTTAACCTAATCTAACATGCTCATAGCAATAACAGCAAATGTTTGCACAGATTAAGGGGAACTCAATGGGTTTCTTTTCGTTGTTTGAATAGGCAAAAAATAAGGGATGAAAGGATGGAGTAACATAAACAAATATTCTATAAGTTTAATGAATATTGACGCACGTAATTGTATTTTAGAAGGGACACTAACCACTGAAAGCTTGGTAATAGAACAATTCCCTTCTTCAAACCATACCTTGACCCCTTTTACTTTTTATAATTGTTGATTATTAAACATTAAACATGATTTTTTTTAAACGTAAGTAGTATCAACATTTAAATGTTGAGGTTTGAGTTTTCTTGACAAACCAAAGCAATGTGATTATTTAGAATCACCCTTTCTCAGTGTAATTTTTAGAATATTTTGAGTAAAAGGAACAACTTATTATATTACAACACTGAATTAATATAACATTGTGGGTAAATTATGTACATTTTGGGCTCTAACAATGCATAAACATCGCCGCTAGGTTTCTCAGCTTACCATGATAATGGTCAGCTTACCACCAGGAAACAGTTTATGTCCGATTCGAGGCCGAAGTTCGAAACCGCCCTGTTAACGATTTGTAGTTCCGGCAGTGATATAGGAGTACCAGAGTCGGATTTATCGCCTAGGTAAAAAGGAAGTCTAGAACTCGAGGAAGGCAAAGTTGACGTCAACTTGCTCCATCGGAGTGCTTATAAATTATTGGACAAAATGCGCAAAGCTCGGGCCCTTTGGTGGAACCGTTCCAACTTTTCCCAGTGGTAGATTTGACGGGATTGGGCTTTTCCACGCAAATCGCGAATTGATTACTCTTTTTAACACTAAAATAATAAGGGAAACATTTCTTAAAAAATTTTAAATTCCAACTAAATTATTAAAAAGGAAAATACTACAAAAATATACCATTTCAAAAATACATTTTTTCCCATTCTCTACCCTACCGTGCATAAGGGAGACTCCATACCGGCCGAACAAACGGCTACTTGGCATGCTAAAATTATAATTTTTGGGGAGGGTTTACTTATTAAGGCCTGCATTTTTTCTCACCTATAAAGAGACGGAAAAAGGAAGATAAGGGAGATTATATAACTTTAAAAATGTTTGTACTAATTCAAAGCATCTCCCTTTGCTGTTTTCCCCTTTAACAGTAGTACCTAGGGATAGGGATAAAAGAGGCGGCCACAAGGGCTTCTGCACCTCAACCTGAGTAGATCTATTGTGCTCATCTGTGCTTTTTTTGATAACTCATTGGCATTTTATAACACAGGCTGTTAATCAATCACCATAGCCTTGCTAGCGGCGTTTCCTCTCCTAGCTACAAGAATTTGCACCTTCATAAAAACATAAAATGTATTCTGTCGTCTCCTATCTTCCTGGAGTATCTGCACAGTGTTTCTTCTGTCTGTACTCCTATCAACTGCATGTGCCTTCTTCAGTAGTATCTAGAAGGGCTTGTAAAATATTTACAAGTATATACTGAAATTTTACATTGTCTACTTAAGCCAAGAGGAAAACAGCCAAAGATAAAATTTCCTAACGAGTTGCAATTGACTTAAACTTAACAATATAAATAAACAGAAATAAAATATCCACCGCAGTATTATGGACTACGCACTCTGTACACAGTTTTTTTAAACTTAACTGGCAAAGTTACCGTGTTCTGTCATAGTTTGGCTGGTCCAGTAATCAGGGAGGACCCATTTTATTGAATCTATTAAAGGTTAGCCTGCTTTTAACGTTATTTCCCGGATTTCCCTCAACCTTATTAAGTGCTCTGAGACACTGAACTTTTTGCCTATTTCTATACACAAGTATCTTACCTTTGTGCTCGGTTTGATTGGTTTGGCATTTTTCTGGGGTAATTTTTAAATTTTTTTCAGGACTCCAGCTTAAAATAATTAGTAATAGCTTTCTCGTTTCTTCCTCTATCAGCACGACTAGGTCATCACCAAAGCCAGAAATTTGATCCCTTCCTCTGTTAGCCTGTTAAACAAGACGGTCAAAAACCAAGTTCCTTCTCTGTACTCAGTCAGTATGATTTAGTGTGGGGCTTACAGTTTAAGTGTTTGTCTAGGAAAAAGTAATATTTCTGAAAATGACTATAGGAAGGGTTTCCAAAAATGAGAAGACTTTAATTTGACCACTTTTCTATCCAAACTGACAATGAGAATTAATAAATATTTCAATTCTAAGCAACAGAGGAAGAAAAACGAACATAAATTACGATTCTATCATTTTTTTGCCCATAAAACTGAATATGAATGAATATATGCATATTTGTAAATCGTAAATATAATTAATTCTATGAATTAATCATAGAAAGATTTAAAAAAATTGGGTCAAAGATTTAATCGAATTGTCCAATGAATATTTGAAAATTATTACCAGGTAATTTGTACTGATTTGTTTGTCAGTAAAATTATATTTAATTGCAGGGTAGAATCTTATACTTATTAAGTCGAAGTAGTAGAATTTAGAAAACCAAATTGATCGCCAACTTTTATAATTGATTTCAGCACTTCTATTTTATGCTTTGAAATTTAAAAAATTAATATATATGCAGAAGCATGCAAATTTAAAAGCATTTGTGCCCGTGATTTCTGAATGACACTAAGAAATCTCACCCGTAACTTGTTTATTTTCGCCTGCATGTTTTGCCAGTGGGAGGCCACGGTTACAACTGAGTTTAACCGATCACAGAAAACGTAAGGGAAAGTATGCCTAATTCTGTGAACGGACCGTCACCTGGATTGACTGGTTATGTCACTTTTAGATTTTTAAGTTTTCCCAGGTGAAAAATTCAACCTCCGGACAACTCAAAACAACTCCTTCCCCCAATCGTAACGAATACAACTTCGAAGTAATAATAATGCTGATTGGTAACTCGATCATATTTACTTTTGCCCCGAGTACAATTTAGCCCTTTGTTTGTACGAGGGAAGACCCAGGGGTGAAAGCCCTCCTTGTTTTGCCATGAAAAACGATTCCTGATCAATTTACTAGTTCAACAGAACCGTTGTTCCATTAGTCAAATTCGAAGAACAGGGACTAGAACAAGATTATTTAAATTAGGCGTTTCCCTCTTCTCAATATCAACACGTTAGGCCTTTGCTGGTGTTTATTAAATAAGAGGGAACGGGTTCGATTTAAATTTCTAATTAACCGGAAGCCGCTTTTTGAGCTAACACAATTAAAACCAAATTGTTTTATAATAGTAACGATTACAGCTTGCCAAAATGGTGTGTAATTAACTTTACTCAATTATTAACTCTTGATTTATGAAGATTAATTGTCAACAATTCTTAATTCTCAAGTCGCTTATATAAAGAATTGAAAATAGTGAACGTATCTAGTAGCAAGTAGGAGTGAAAAACGAAGTCAATGCTTGCCAAGTATTTATGATTTCTAACGTCCACCAAGATGATTTATAATTATTCTGTATAAGGAAAAAAGAGAGGGAGGGAGATAGATATTGATTGATTAAACGTTTTATTTAACAACGCAAAGATAGGTTTCGCAGACCTTTTTTTAGATCATGCAGACTCTTTTGGTCTTTACAATTTATTTTGCAAATAGAAAACAAGAAAAAAAGAGAGGGAGTAAATAAGTGAGAGAGAAAAAGAAAAAGAGAGAGGGAGAGAGGGGGAGAGAGAGAGAGAGGGAGAGAGAGAGAGAGAGAGAGAGAGAGAGAGTGAATGACGAAAGATCTCGAGAAAACTACAAGATCTACTCGTCATTGAGAAAAGGTCAACGACTCGGAAAACGTGGAAAACTACGTCGCATCTAAGCCCTGAAACTTTTCACTGGGATTTATGCCAGACAATGGTGGGCCAGTGCCAAATTAAAGATTACAATGAAATACTGCATTGCACTACTTTTGAGGTGATAGTGAGTTATTCAGTTTGGAATGGCTTACCTTATCCTCGGCCTCCTCTGCCCGGTTTTCGGCCTCAATGACCCGCTGCTCAAGCTCGGAGAGCTGAAAAACAAAAATAAAAATATATTAAAAAAGAGGAATATTTAAGATCAAACACCTAACCTATGAATATATGTTTAAATAAATAATAGAAAATAAAACACTAAAGGAGCAAGCAATTATTTTTTAATGGAGTGACTCAAATAAATATATATTGGGTTGATGAGAAAATAAAGTTAATAATTTTTTAAATATTTATCATGCAGATGACCAATAATCATAAAATATTTATTAATTTATTAAAAACATTTTTATTTGTGGCTGTTATGATCAAACCAAACTTGGCTAACTGTTCATTTCAATTCTTTTGCATTGGCATGAAATATTTTATTTCGTAACAACAGAGATTGTTATAAAAAATGTATTTGATACATATTGTTATATAGGTGTAAGAAAACAAACTCTTAAACAAAAATTATGATGTTGCCGTACTGAAGTTTTTCTAAATTGGCACATTCAACTCAGGAAAGCCAAGTTTTCATATATATAGTTTTTCTAAATTGGCACAATCATTACCAGTGACACATTGAGCATCTGAGCAATCAGTATTTTTGCCATGTTTTAGATATTTACTATGTTCTGTCTCGGGCATATTAACGAATAAATGCCTATTTGATTATAATCAGTCATTATAATATCACAATTCATGATACGAAAATCAAAACATTAAAATGTCTTCAGTTTGTTGTTAATTAAAATGTTTCACGAATTTTTTTTAACAGGCTCCACAATCGTAAAAAAACCGAAATTAGCTTGTAAATATTAAAAATAACAATTATTGATAGGGCTGCTTATTAAGACATTAAGTGCACATTGCATTTGTTTTATGTTTTACAAACTCTAACATAAAATGCCATATTTGAGGCGTTAAAGCATAAATGATTTAATTTCCATATTTTTCCCTGCCATGAGTCACATTTATTTTTTAATTCATTTACCGAATAACTGTAATAAAAATGTGTAATAAGTGTTTCGAAGTTTGGGTGCTAATGTTTTGTTATGTTTTACAGAATCATTAATTGATGTTCTATTTAAGCATTATGTAAGCAAGAAGCGTCACATTGAAAACAGACAGACAGCCAAATTATCTCGTTTAAGTTCAACCCTCTGACACAAATGTAAATGTTTAGTTTAGACTTTAGTTGATTATACGAGGGCAAAAAGATCAAACCGTGTAAATACTTAGAAAAATACCTTAAAAAGGATTTTTTCATAGTTTCCACGGAAACACGATAGATCGAGCTTGGTGCAAGTCGTTGAAGAAATGGGTTTGGAAGGTCACCACTAGATCTCATACAATGGCCCGGTCCAAGCACAGCTTTCGTGCTTTTGTGCGGGGATGGCAGAGACGAAATTACGGAATTGTTTGGCCGTTTAGGGCGTGGTTAGCATTCCGACCGAACCCTCTTAACAGCCCTCTTAATGAATTTTATATGAAGTTAGAGTTTAACCCTTTATATCGAAAGGGTTTGGCACCAGTTGAGTTCGCTTCATTACCAATCACCATTCATTGTTTCGAGAACAAAATGTCGGTGAACATTTAAGGCAGAACTCGATGGGTTCAGAACGGAGATTTTCCAAATATTCCAAAATTAATGACCTTTCGATTATTTATAGCAATATAAAGGAATAGGGTTTTACAATCTGCTCACTGTTCAATAAGGCAAGTACTGCAGAATAATTATACGTAGGAATGTGTGGTGTTTAGTGATCGTTACTTAATGATTATTTGGAGGTCGTGAGATGCGGTCTGGTGTGACGTAGGTTAGAAAAACATTTTCTTTATCGTGCCAACGTTTCGGTCTTTATTAAGATCAACTTCAGGCCCTGGGATTTATAAACATTGTTTAAATTGTACAAATACATGTAAGATGTGAAAAAATGAATTTATACAATGATAGAAATTTTAGACTCAACCAAAGTATTTGTACTCACTCAAAATGTTTGTTTTCTGTGCAGATGTGACATTACTGTGTGTCATGTTGCGAAGCGAGCGAGATATTTATGTTTTTGGTCTATGTAAGTTGGATTTTGAAGGAGTGAGGAAGGAAGTAGAGATAGAAAGACATTTTTACATGAGGAGTCAGCTTTTTGAGGTGAAAGGAGCCGACAATGGGAAAAAAGGGTAATTGTTCGGCCTGATTAACTTTTCAGGATTATATAGACGGGGATAATTAGGGAAAGGAGAGACAAATTGTTGAAGAATTAGACTATGTAGAAATGTTTGATGTGTGGAATGTGATGATTGTTTTATATGTTGTATTTTATGTTTTGTGTGATGTGGTGATTATACATGTATGTTATCGATATTGAATTGGATTAATATTAGCGTAGGTGCGACTGAGTTTACATGTGTCTGTTCTGTAATTGATGCTGCGTTTATCTCTGTTGATGTAAACCATTTCTAAGAAATTACGTTTATTTTTGTTTTGTTTTGTGTGTAATATTTTTGGATTGTTGAACTCGAAGTTGTGTTGGTGTTCAAAATGGTGGGTAGTCAGTGCAGGATTTTGTTTAGGTTTTTCTGCAATCATAGATATGTTGCTTTTCACTCTTATCCAGATGTTGGGTGGTAATTCCGATGTAATTTGCCGGACAATTTAAACAGTTGATTTTGTAAATTACATCTCACTTTTGTGGTGCGAGATCATTAATTTTGAAAAAAAAGTGTGCGAATTGTTTTATAGTTTTTGAGGCTATTTTTTAGTTATCAGAATAGAAAAATGTGTATAATTTATGTGATAGACCGTGAATGAATGGCAAGGATATGTATGTTGGTTTGTCAGTATTTGATAGATTCGATGAGGTATTATTAGTAATAGTACATGGTGCTAATACTAATAATACTACATCAAATCTATCAAGTACAGACAAACCAACTAAAACATAGTCTTCAAAAGCAATAAAACTATTCAAACACTTTTCTGTAAAATTCTAACATAAAACCAAGCAAATTATAGAAGGTTAAGACTGAAATTAGGTCATGTTGGACTAGTAGCGTCCAGGTCCTTCCTACAAATTCTATCCACTGTTCTTTAAAAACATTATAATTATAATAAATATAGGTTCGTAAAAGACCAATGAATGGTAAATTTAGACCTTGAATGTTTTCAACATAACTTTTTTTTAAATGGTCGACCTATAGTCACAATACCATATCAGGTCAATTTTACGATGAACTGCAATACGCCTATAATAATTTAAATATAAAGACATTAATTGATTTGACATTGTATTTAATATACAAGACATAAATCATTGATCGACAAAATCAAAAGTCTATGTGCGAAAGGCTTCCAAATCAATGTTCATCATTGGCAAAGAGAGTACGTTATGACCTAAGAGAAATTTATTTTTCATCTCCTCACGTGTTTAATTTGACATGATCTGAAAATATATTAAATAAGTGATACAGGCACATTTGAAAAAAGCAATTTCCCTAAAGTCACGAGAGACATGCATTTATACAATGGAACAAGTTTTTCAATCTATACACTGTTCAATATAGCAATTATTGCAGACTTATTTTTATAGTGCTGCGTACAAACCATCAACTAGTTTTATATTCTACAAATTTTAACGTAAACTATGTAAATAAATTAAGGCTAAGGCTAAAACGAGGCCGATATGAAATTGATCCATCTGTTTAAATTCTAAACGTCATCAACATCGTTCAGTTAAAATTTATGGTTGATGACTTAATTACTTTATTTTTATGTAAAAATGTAGAAATCAAGTGATATTCTACACTAATTTATATCAATTAATGCTAATTGCCACCTGGTTGTCCAGGTCTAAACAGTTTCCCTCTATCTTTGGATGAGTTTCAGATTTTTATCTCTGCCTGTGATTGGAGACGTGTAAAAAAATGATGTGGGACGTATTTAAAATATTCTACTGTGACGACTTGACAATTAGAGTTCATATTCCACCTGACAAATTTAAAAGTCTCACAATTTGTAGTGATGGGAGACGACGTAATTTCAGAGATTTTCTAACCATTAAATTTACTGTAATCCACGGTGCTTCAACTAGTCACAGAAGAGAATAATGAGGATATCAATCTCGCTAGTACACTACTAAAATTACTTTTTAAATGAAACATTAATTTAAAAAAGGTGATTGGAAAGTGGAGCTGAGCTGAATTCTGATGACACCTAGTGTCGATAAGCCGCTCGGCTAGTTAAGATTTCTTGTGACAATTAAAAGAGGATTTTATGTGACGAGTAAGCGTTAAAATTCCTTTTATGTTTTATCCATCTGATACTACTTTATTATGCTTTTTTTATTTACATATATTTTTTTCTGAGAACAATACAAAATAGTTGATTTCATGCTGAGTTAAAAGAAAACCACTGAAATTTGTAGAAACTGCCCTAATTTATCAAATTATTTTCCTGACGTAAATTAATCTAAATATTTTAAATGTCTATGCTGACGAAGTCAAATATGATAAATGTGCCGTCACGTTTTTTTGATCAATAAAAATCATCTGTAGTGATTCTTTTCTTTTTATTGTCAAATTTCAAAAGGTTTCAAGACAATAGGAATACAAAGCGGGCCAGCTCTATTTACTTTCGCCTGTTATTTCTGGAAACTTAATGAAATAGGCAAAAGATTATTTTAGAAAATAAACTGCCAATAAAAAAATAAAATAAAAAATAACAAAACATAAAATAAATAAATACAAAACCGACCATCTGGTTTTTGAACGAAAAAATGGGCAACATAGGAAATTAATGTTTTATCAGCCTTTTAAGTCACAGGCCTGCGATAGGTCTCATTTTTTAGAAACTTTTACGCAGAACAAGTTGGCTTTTTAAACGTTTTCCTAGCTTCAGTTATTCAACAGTAAATTCAAAAATCCGGGAAAATGTTAATTTTGTATGTTATTTTCCTTTGTTTTTTAAATATCTTTTGTATAGAAGCAATTGTTGTTTTTGTATTGAAAAACCTTTAAAAACCTCGTTTAAAAAAAAAAGAAGTAAGAATTGTAGCTTCCC